CTGACAGACCAGCCTTCACCCCCCATACCTGTATCTCTGACAGACCAGCCTTCACCCCCCATACCTGTATCTCTGACAGACCAGCCTTCACCCCCCATACCTGTATCTCTGACAGATCACCCTTCACTCCCCCATACCTGTATCTCTGACAGACCAGCCTTCACCCCCCATACCTGTATCTCTGACAGACCAGCCTTCACCCCCCATACCTGTATCTCTGACAGACCAGCCTTAATTCCTCTCAATACCTATATCTCTTAACAAAACAGCCTTCATTACTCACAATACCTTTTGTACTTAGAGAACTTTGTTCTCCATTTTATGGCTATTAAGATCCAATCTTAAATAGGCCCACTGATTTTTGCTTGGGAATGAATTTCTCAAGGCACTCAGCAAAGGAACCCTGAGTTGCACAGGAGATGGGGAGTGATAGCGGCCAGCTAGGACCCGGGGGTGGCACAACGCGGGCAGACACAAGCCAAACAGGCCCGCGCCTTGCCACTGATGCTTTTCCGGGCCACCCAGTCAGTACGGAGACGAATCCCACTGACCGACACCTGTTCAGTCCTAACCAGTGTGGTGCCAATTATCTCACCGTCCCCCACGGAGCTCGCAGCGCCTCGCCGCTCTGCCAAGAGTCTGACCAAAATACCAGCTTTAAACCGCCGTCCACTGGGGCTCAAAAGTCCACATCTTTTAATCTGCTGCCTAATAAAGGACAAGGTAACTTTCTTTTTCCCATTTTCTTCCAAAATCCATCGCAGGACGTCTCTCCTTTCCCTACTGCTTAAAAGTACATTACATGTAATGCCTTCTGATGGGAGCAGAGCGGCAATAAAGTCTTTTCAGGATGAAATGGAAATATTACAGAGACGTGGGTGGAAAAGCTGGGTGGAAAAGGAAGGGCGGGATTCAGGTGTGGCGTCGCCGGGATGTTTAAAGCCGGGCTTGTAAGTAGAAACACACGTGTTTGCTTACTCATTTTAAGCACCCAACTGATCACAAATTGGCTTTGCATCACGACTAAATTGAAATTATGGAAATATGGCGCTGTGCTCTAATTTCATAGGACTGAACAACTCTGTAATTGGCGTCGTGCAGAAGTCCGGCCTGAGATTCCCTTAGCGATCGCGTTTTAAAATTGATGTGATACACAGCGGTATTTCAAATCATACACCTCATTTAAAATGGCTGCCATTAAGAGCAGCTGGGCTGGGCCTCGCACAGCAGCCCGGTACCACCGATTCGGAGTGGGACCGTGGCAGTACAATGGGGGGGGGGAGGTCGGGGACCGGAGAAAGCACAGCATCTCAGGGTAGCTCCAACCCCCACCAATAGGAACTGTGTGGAATATGGGCACCTGTACCCGCTGCACATTGTAGGGATAAGGGGGAGTTTTTGGGATGGGGAGGAGGTTTCCATGACTGCTTTCTTGCCTTCAATCTTTCTGGTGGCGACTGTGCCCCCACCCCTCCAATCTCAGTGTCAGACACCTCATCAATAATCTCTGCACTGTTTTGCCAAGTCGACCGACACTGGCACAGAAACAGGGAAGCGAACCAAATACCACCATTATGCTAGTTAAGCACCCCACCCCAGAATATCTACTGTGGAGGGGGCCCAAGCCTGGAAGCCAGCGCAAAACCCACTTAACATGCAACAACGCTGGCAAGCATCACATACCGGCCATCCTCGGAAGCTACCCCCCCAGCAAAAGGAAAGCGATCCAGACAAAGCAGTGTCATTGTTATGTCTGCTGTTGTTTTTCAAATTATTATTGTGTGTCTATGTTTACTGGATATTCTCACTCTGCAGGCACCATGGTGGGACAGTAGGGGGCGCCCTCCTTAGACTTAGACCAGCAACCTGTGTTTTAGGTTTCATGTGTTAAGCTGTGAATGCAGGCTACCAGCTGGCAGCCCCCCCCCCACACCACACCTACACACATTTACACTCCAAATACAAGGTGGAACAAATGGTCTATCTGGGAAGCCCACTCATACACCCCCCCCCACCCCAACACCCACAAAGCAGCAGGAACCAGCGGAGGTTCGGTGAGAATGGGGGCGTGTGGTGGAGGTGAAGAGAGGGACAGCTTGGCACCCAGCGGGGAAGCCCCCATCTGACCCAGGGGACATTACTGCTGAGCGTGGCCAAGCACGGAGGGGGGGAGTTAGCCGTACAATAACCAATAACAGCGGGTAATGGGCACCGAGGCCCATCTTCGCTAGCGGCACCATGCACCGTGACAAACAGTGGTCATTACAGGCAGCGAGGAGGGCAGGGGGCCCCAATTCCAGAAAAGGTTATCTAGCTCCTCCTCCTGTAGGCTGCGAGCTGAGCCAGTCCCCCGTGCCCCCCCCCCGCTCTCCCTGTGCCCCCACCTGCGCCTGGCTAAATTACGAGCCAATTAAAGGTCATCAGTGCTCCAAATGACAGTCCTGCAGAGACGGCTGGTGAGAGAGACAGCACCAACATGAGGTTCTGCCGTGCCTCTCCCCGACCCACGGACAGCCCCCCTGGAGACTGCTGCATCACACAGTGCTGTTTTTAATCTTTCTGACTTGTGTGCGGGTGGGGGCACAGAAACGGCTGCAGCAGACCATAAGCCTACTCATCTCCATCTCAGCCACCAATCTGCAGACCAGGCGCCCCCTGGTGGCCGGTTCTGAGAACAGCAGGCACCCCTCACTACCTGGTGAGTTTGGGGAGGGGGTAATCCCTGTCTCAGTGCAATAGCATTTGTCATAAGCACTTTATGCAAGAACAAAAAAGCTGGCAATTCCTGCAGATGGAGGCCATTAACCAAGTCTCTGTGCCCATGATCAGAAGGTCGCCAGTTCAATCCCCGGCCTCAGCAGAATAGTAACATGTGCGTGGGCCCATGAACAAAGCCCCTTAACCCCCAGCTGCTGGGGCACCACACGTAGGCTGACCCTGCTCCATAACATCCAAGCTATGGATGGTAAGATGGGGTAGGCAAAGAGAAGAAATCCAGCGTACCTGTACATGTGCAAATAGCAAATAAAGGATTTATCATTTATCACTGTCTAACCTGGTAAGACAAAACGGCCACAGGACCCCCCCAGGGCAGGGAGGGAGGACAGAGTCTGTCACACACATAGGCTCCCTCCGGGTGGCAGATTTATCTCACCTGGATCAGGGACTCGCTGAGTCGCTGCTCATCCACCTCCAGGACGATGTCCCGGATCTCCTCGTAGGGAAGCCGGAAAGAGCCCAGGAAGATTGCTGTAGGAAAGGAGAGGGTGACCGAGTCATTTATGTTGTCTGGATGGAGAGGGTGACCGAGTCATTTATGCTGTCTGGATGGAGAGGGTGACCGAGTCATTTATGCTGTCTGGATGGAGAGGGTGACCGAGTCATTTATG